CGCGGGGCTTTTTTGGGGAGCGACAGTTGCACCAACTTAACGTGTGGTTTGCTAACAGGAACCGGGTTTGTTATGATGTTGGCTGAAGTCTCGGTGGTTTTGTTGTTCGGTTTTTTGTTCGTGGTTTTTTTTTTTTTTTGTCTCTCAGTAAATGGCTAAAAACGTACGTCTCAGTCTGTAGCTGTGTTTAATTTGCCAAGCGCACTTACTCACGTCTTTAGTATGGGAGGAGACTCTTTTTTTTTTTTTCTTGTGAGGAAACAAAAAGTAACAGAACAGCAAGGATCTGCCAGAAAAAAAAGTTGGTTGTGTTTTTTTTTTTCCTCGAGGAGCAAGGGTAGCAGCTTCTCTCTCTCATGATGGGGTGAACAGGCTTACTAGTATCAGAGCAAGGCTTGTGGAAGGAGACCTGAAGGGGAATTTCCCCCAAGGTTAACTCCTCCACTGGGTCCCCACCTGAGGATCTGCTCCACTGAACATCCTCTGACTTGTTCCAAAGATCTAGTCCATAAAGCAGCCTGTTTCATTCCGAGTTAGGCAAATTTCCTTAACAGTAACCTTTTAAAACAAATAAACTTCCTTAATAATAATAGTCTTTATGCGTTTGATAGCCTGGTAGAGAAACAGCTGAGGGGTAGATATGGTAGATAAACTTGTGACCAGAGTGGAGGCGGTGAACAGGAAAGAGCTGCTTGTTCTCTTTTAGACCAAGAACTGCAACAGTCAAGTGATGCTGGAATGCAAAAGATTGAAAACAATAAAGGTGAAGTGGTTTTTTTACACAATATTTGGGTCAGCCACAGAGTGGTTTGTGTCCCCCCCAGTCTGCTGGATGTCAGAAAACTTATGTGGGTTCAAAAGCAACTGGATGGAAGAAATCAAAATTTCATGTGAAATAGAAAGTTTTAACCCCTGGCTTTGGAAACTGCTGAGCTGTAAGGGAGCGGAAACCAAAAGAGCGTGTAGAGAAGATGTTGGAGAGTACTTGTTCCGCTTCTGCTCTTTCTCTTCTTTCCAAGCATCTGTTTTTGAGTACTCTGAGACGACATCCTGGGCTGAATAGGCCCTATGGATGTGATGTGATGTGATGTGATGTGCCTGTTCTTCCAGGCATATAGCTTTTCTGAAGCTGGTCATGGAAAGGGAAGTGAAATGCTACTGTATGTGTGCTCGTGTGGTTTTTGGTCTTATATATCTGATACTGATGAGCCTTGGTCGTCCAGTTCCTGTGTATTTTCCTGTATGCTGCCTAGCTGTAAAGGCATTTAAAGATCACTAACAACCCTGGCTAATGCTTTTTGACACGATTCGTATACATGAGCAATTCTTAAGGACCACAACCTTTTTGAAAGCAGTAATGGTGTTGAGGGATACATTCAGGTTTGAATGACTTGTGTTGGTACAACCCTTGTGCTGGGATTACAACTGGAAAGGCAGGAAAGGGGACCAAGACACTGAAAACCGCTTGTGTACTGGTTTCTGTGGATTTTGTGGATGGTAACCTATACAGCGCATGCTATTTTCTGGCCTAATTATGTGCAAAGTATTCTAGTCAGTTGACAGGCTGTCTGTGATCATCTTAAAAATGCCTCGGTGGCTGAGACGAGATCTGTGAAATTCTTCAGAAGTGGCCCAGGTAAGCTGGGAAGAATTAACCAAAGGTGAAGTTTAAAAGCACAAAGGGTCAAAGCTGTGTGGTATCATTAGGTATAAAGAAACCAGTGAGTGCTGATGTATAGGAAAGTGTTGAAACATTGGTTGAAAACGAACAGGTTAAGTCCAGAGATTGTTGATCACATGGATCTTGTCAGCCTGGCAGCCAGTCAGCTTGGCCAAATGTGGCTGAGGGCCTCAGCGGGTGCCCATGACGTACAGTGTGATTTCCAGAAGCTTTATGTCTACTAACAGAGCAGAAACAGAGTTTTTTCAAGACGTCAGCAGAAAGATTTCAGGAAAAGGCGATGCAGGGGTTTTGGAAATGTGTTGGCTGTCGGTCCGAGCTAGGAGCGGAGCACCGGCGCAGTGCTGGTGTACCTGCTTGGCTGTCAGTCTTGCTGGTTTCTGTGTACCTGTGTGACAAAGTGACTTCAGGTGGGAGGTGGGTAAGGAGAGTGGGCTGTCGTGATATGTGCTGAGGAAACGCGCTTGGTCTCACTAACATGATGCTTAAGAAGACGCCAACAGGAGCTTATGGCGTTTGCGTGGCTGTTACAGCTACAGAAAGGCGTTAGGTGAATCCAGCTTGTGAAGTCTCCCAGGAAATATCGATAAAAGAACTTAGAGGTGCAGCAGATGAGTCACAAAAAGCTCATTTCTGCAACATAAACTGCAGGGCACCGCATCCAGCCAGGGAGATAAGTTTTGCATAACTCCATCAACAAGTCAAGCCTCATCAGACCTCTCACTGAAACAACCTGAAAATGAAGGCGGCTTCACCAAGATTTGCAGCATGACCAAGTGTGACACGCAGGTCCCTCTGCTTTGAGTACAAGAGCAGCAACTGTGAAGAAAGAGGAGTTCTCTAATCACATCACGCCCAGACAGACGCATCATTAAGCATATGACAGGGTACATACCAGCCCGCCAGGGACCCACACATCCTCGTGCTTATCGTATTGTCTAACTGCAATGTGGCTTGCGTGGTGCACCAGCAAGCTAGCTGCTAGCCCGGGCAGGATTCCCTGATGCTAATCCAATACCTTTTCCTTTTGAATTGATGTTGTGGAGCGCAGTCGGCTGTGTGCATTTTTGGGGTGCATTGTTGTTTGATTTTGGGGTGTGTGTTTGTGTGTGTGTCTTTCTGCATGCTTGCTTTTCAGGCAAGGACAAGTTGGCACCCTAAATCTTACACAAAAGATGCACAGCTGTCTGCAATCCTTTTCCAATTTTGTGTGTGACGGGAGCTTTTGTCTCACAGGAAATCCCCATAATCTCTATATTTATATGCTCTTAATTATTTTTATCAGTTAATAGCTTGTGATACCATTGCCCACTGTACACCCCCCACAGCACTGAAAAGGGGTAAAGTTGACCCAGCTACTGTCATGCCACATTGAGTCTTATGCATACAGGGAATGCCAAATAGTAAGTGGGGAATTTGGAAGTTGTTCTCGCTGTATGAATTCACCATCCTGGGCTTATCGAGCTAAAGCAGGACTGCGGGAGCCCATGGATCTGCGGCATCCAAACCTCTCTTTGGAGCTTGCGAGATTCAGCCTGTTCCTGCCACACTGGAGAAGGGAGTGCAAACAATAAGCTCCATAGTACAGAGATGTGCGGTTTACAATTCCATATGAGCTGGAAGGCTGATGATGAAGAGGAGCCAGGTGTGCACAATACTTTGGTCAACATGTGGATGGAGAGGGGGAAAATGCTACGTATGCCTTAGAAGCACTGCTGCTGTGCTTTCCTAGAGGGAAGATACTGTGGTATTTGTGGCACATGCAAATAGTATGTTCCTCAAATAGTCTTTGTAACCATCACACACACACAGATTAGGTATAACAGTACAAGAATATATTTCTTTCCATGTAAGAGACATTGTATACCCCATGAGGTACTTATGTATAGGTGAACTTGCAATGCAGATCATCATGTCTAAACAGAGGTTCAGAAAGTATCACCAGGACTGGGGTGTGTGTGTGTGTGTGTGTGTGATTCTAGTATGGCCTTTTTTATGGCCTTGGCTCGGTGGTGGAGCTGTTTTATCTGTGGAGGGAGACCTACGACTTGAAGTCTTGGTACCTGAAGTACCGTGAGAGTCTTGAACTCATGAGGCTTTTGAGAGACGCTCATCACATCTGGGTGCTTTCCTGCCACTCCCTAAGTCCTATTCACCCTGCTGTAGAAGGAAGTTAGGTTACTTTGATGTGATCTGTTCTTTTTACAGTGTTTTTTTTCCCCCATCTTCTTGGCACTTAGAAATTCTGTGCATATAAACAAAAATACATGCTTATTATACAGATAATGGCTTCCACAGCTTATCACACAAAGCCTCCATACTCACCGTTTTTCAGCTAACATTTTACACTTTTCTTTTGTAATCTGTGCAAGCAATAATGTCGTCCCTGCTACTTCTGTACATCCGACTTCATACGCGCTTGAAACACCAATAAAGCTGAAAGCTGCGGGCACCATCAGGATGGAGCAGACACCAGGACTTTGTTCAGCCACCAAGCTGGCTCTGCCCATGTCAGTCTTCTGGGACACATCCTAAAGAGCTCTGCAAGGGGAAGACATAACAGCGAAGCCCAGGAGGTAGGTCCTCAGCTCTCCTTGAAAAGATCTTGCTGATGTGACAAGCCCTGACTTTGGCGGTGAAGACTTTGACGTGGGGGGGAATTGACTCAAAGGGGTGATTTATAGCAGGGGCTCGTGGATGAGAGTCTGCAAGCAGCTCAGTGGAGAGGTGAAGGAAATGGAGAAATATTTTGAGCTGTTAATGGGAGCTTTCCTGCAGCGCAGTGCAGTTTTTCCTACCTCCCTGTCTAACAGGAAACTTCCACCCTCTTTCATGGTGTTACTCCTTGCCAATGTACACAAGTTCTGGTCCTTTGGGCCCAATTTTTGTGCTATGTGGTAGTTTGAGGGTAAAGGTTAACCCTCTCTCCACCATAGTAGTAGTAGTATTTTAAACTCTCATTTGAGTTGGAACGAAGCTGTTAAACTCCAGATTGGTCCAAAGTAGAAGTGGGTAAACTCTATTTACCAGGGGTTGTAGGTTTTTTAAAATAATTAATTTTTAAAAAATTTTTATCTTGACTCCTGCCTCTATGGTCCATTAAGTCCTGGCCAAGCATGGATACTTCCATCTCTTTAAAGTCAGAGAATTCAAATACTCAACATATAAGCAATTGGGCTTGAAAATTTCCACAGCCAAATTTCCCTGGGCTTTCTAAACACTTCCTTGCTTTAACAGGGCTGCAAGTGCTCTGGCTAGCAGAACAGAATAGTTTAGCATGTACCAAGGGATTTGTCAAGACATCTTTCTTTTCAGGCATCTACCAGAGCAGCTTCCATCAAAAGTTACTGTAAAGCAGTTCAGATTAGTTGAGGATGCAGAGGAACCAGGTTCACTTCTCTGTTGTGCTGCTGTCTTCTTGTGTGACCCCGCAGAAGTCGCTTGCCTCTTTTTCCTGGCCAGAGAGCAGAGACACAGACTTCCTTCACCTCAGCGTATCTCTGGGACATGCAGGAATTGATGTTAGATGTTTTACCGCAATTATGAGGATCACCGAGGTGCTGGAGGCAACTACAAAAGAGCATCCAGCCTTTTCTGAGGAACCTATGGATAGTTGGGACTGAGTGGCAGACAGACAAGCAAAATGACTTGCTCTTAGCACAGCACATTCTGTTAGGAAACACAGATCTATGTATCCCATGCAACGAAGGGTCCTCATGTGTAGCACTGGGGCAAAGTCGTATGTGATACCCATAACTGCCAAATCTTTGCTGACCCTATGTTTCCCATGTCTGTGGTGAGAAGCTGTCTTTCCTCCTCCAGAAGCATAAAACAAGCTGTGGCAAACCGTAGATTTTTATTGCTGTTTTTTCCCTGCGGCACCTGTGTTGCTTTTAAGTCTTCAGGGTCTTAAAATGGACAGGCTTATAATTTAGTTAGGCTGGGGTCTAAAAGTAATGGTGTATCTTTCCAGATCTCACGATTAGAGGTCCATAAGGCACCATGTAAGTAGTTGTAGTCATATAGCTCTTCAGCTGTCCATCATTTAGAGGAAGTCTAAGAATGAGGTCAGGCGGGCCAAACCAAGGGGGTGAGCTGTGTGGAATGAGGCTGGCAGGGGGTGCCGCTGTGTGACAGGGGCATAGGCTGGGGCTCTGCTGCGGGGGAAGTGGGTGGAGAACCATACAAACCCGATAGAATCAACTGATCTAGATTTAATGCCAATAAAAAGTACTCCTACAGAAGCTCCACGATCCCTATCAATAGATAATTTTGTGATGGAAATAACCAGCTAGCAGCAGTAAACACTAGCACATGAATTAATTAACTTTCCCAGCTAGCAGCATTGAGTAATCAAGTAGAGTTAAAAGTTTAATTCAGACAGTTTACTAAAAAAAAAAATCTCTTGGCAAAGCACATTGTTACTTTTCTCCTTCCCCAGCTTCCCAGGAACATCCTCTTCTCTACCTTCCCCAGAAACCCTTCAAGTGATTTGATTTGTATAGAGTAGAGGGAAAACCAGAAGGAACTAACTCTGTCTTTCTGCAGAGTTAGTAAGGCAAACAACTTGACCAATTTTGCATTGCTGTGTGAGCAGGGGTGTATTAAGCAGAGATGTTTTATCAGGGAGAACTTTTCCCAGAGTGTTTTTGCCTGGAGGAGAGGGAATTGTTCCTGTAGTTCCTGCTATTATAGGGTAATGGTGTTGGTTGCTGAAATACACTGTGACCTGGTTTCCAAGGCAAGGTGTAGATACTGGTTTTGCCTCAGATGCCTTTGCGGGATGGGGCAGTAGCAAGTCGGAGAAAGCACCTGTTTTGCTGCTCTGTGTGATTTTGTTGTTGTTGTTGTTGTTGTTAATGCTACCTACATGAAAGCACTTACCCTCATTGATCCCCCTCTCCATTCTCCTCTTTTATGCTTTCCCAACCTCTGTTCTGTTGCTCCTTCTCAGCACCCATTCCCTTTTTATTTTTTTTAAACTAAGTGATAAGCAAGGAGCCTGGTTTGTGCCATGCATCAGCAGACAGGCTTCTGCATGGGGAAGAGAATGACGTGGTGGAATAGGAGCACTCCTGGTCCCCTGTATTCGCTCTCTCCATTTCCTCTCCTTCCACAGACTTGCATTCAAACTCCACCTTTTCACTTGCTCTGTGGCAAGCACAAAATCAGGTTGCCCCACAACAGCATTTGTAGCAAGTGTCTTGCCACTCCACATTCTGGGTAAACCACTCCCAAGCTGATGGGGCAAAAGATGAAGAGATGGTTCCCACCAGCTGGCTGTCTAACATGACATCAAAAATTGTTTGTGGCATTGTGTGACAATTGACTTACTGCACACTGGGCCATGGATCCAGTTTTCGGGCAACAGTATCTGTGGCCAAGTGTAGACAGTCACAGACATCTTTGGATGATGCTAAAGTAGAAAAGAAGACACATAAATTCTGCAGGGCTAAACTTTAAGGGAGGTCACAGCTTTTGGTTTCCTATAGCTCAACATAGTTGGTGCTTGAGCTTGATGAACAGGTCCTTCAGGAAGGACTGGCAGGGGGCAGGGTAGGGTGTCCAGTGGATGTTGGCTGATACATACCTTGCATTCCTCAGGAAAGTTGTGATGTATTGGTTGTTGCAGGCAGGTTATGAGCTTCCTTGGGTAGCCCTGCCTGAGTGTCCTGCTGCTGACCCTGTTGCTTTCAGTGCTGTTTGGTGTGCCTTTCCCTCTGAGAAGAGATCCCTCCAGCTTCGTTGGACAAAACAAGATTCAAAGCAAGATTTTCATCCTTCTGCCTGCAGGGAGGCTCCTGGTGCATCTTGGCCTCACCAGGCTCTGGGCATCCTGTGATGGACCTGGGCTGTTCATGACAGCTCCACCCTGCATCCAGTGAGCTTGTGGGCTCTGTAGATCCACCTGGCATCTTCTACCTTTAATCACTGAGGCGCTTGTTTAGTGGAGCACAAGCTGTATCAGAAAAGGCACAGTAAGGAAAGGGAATGAAGTGCTGGGGAGTTGCAATATTCCTTGTAGCCTCAAACAAAGTGGTGGCCGAGCTGTTAATAAATCAGTGTGATCTGAATACAGACACACGGGCAGCACCTCTGCAGTGCATAGGAAAGGTTGGAAGAAGACCACAGCTTTTGATGAGGCCAGTGACACATTTGCCCTTTTTAGACTGGTTAAAGCAAACTCTTAATTGGGTACTTTTTAGTTACAAATGGTCTCTATGGAAAGTAGCTTGTCTGAACCTTCTCTGTTTCTCATGGTGAGTTTGCCCTGTGGGAGTTTTTGCTAGATGGGGAGAAGGAGAAAAGAGAAGATGTTAAAATGTAAACACCCATAGGTCTTTGACTTCTGAGTTAAAGAAAAATTGCCTTGAATAATGCAGCTGTTACTTTAAAAGAATAGGTTTTTGGAAATTGCTTTATTCCCAAGAACGCTGTTTCCAATACCCATAGATAAGTCATTTGGGAAACAGGAACAGAGGCTTCTGGGGAGGCTGAGGTTGCTTCTCCAGTGCCAGGGGTGTCCACTATCTTTTCTGCCACATGGCAATCAGGTTTTTTTTTTTTTTTTTTTTTTTCTGATTGGTACTGCCAATACAGGGATGCAGGAGGTGGTTGACTGTGTGGACTGCAGGTGAGACTTGCTGTGCAGAGGAAGAGCAACACGAGAGTTGGTAATTTGTTCCTGCTCAGGGTGAAGGGAGCTGCAGACTCCTCCCATGCAAGAATGACATTGGCATCACTGAGTTGCACAGGCTGGGAGCTGCTGTTACTCAGGGTACATGGGGTTTATGAAAACAGCAGAAATAATAGTATGATGAGCAGCAGTAAAGCCCTGGGCTCTCTCAGGAGCCAGGGCTTTCCATATGTAAATCATTAGGGTCTTAGTAAAGTGGAAACACACCTTCAGAGAGGCAGCTTGAGCCCAAAGCCTGCCAGTTTCTCTGTGTTGTTGAAGGGAAGATATCTGTTTCTTTGGGTTGCTTGAATCCCTCCTTAACCCTTTATAGAGGGGTGGCCTCAAAGAGGGCCAAAGCTGCTGTAACCCTGGTGGATACGAGCTGTTGGAGGTCAGCCAGAATGGGAGCTTGGTTCTCCAGCCTGGCTCAGGCTTGTGCTGACTGGAGCAGCTTCCAGGCTGTTTTTTCTCCATTGCTCCTGAGTGCCGCTCTGGGCTGGAGGAGTTGCTGGGGTGTTACTGGCAGAGGATCAGGGTCAGGTGCAATGCTGTTACCCCCAGAACCCCTGTCATGGTTTAACCCAGCAGGCAACTGAACGTCACCCAGCCACTCACTCACCCCCCACCCCCCAGTGGGATGGGAGAGAGAATCGGAAAAAAAAGTAAAACCCATGGGTTGAGATAAAAACAATTTAATAAAAGAAAAGAGACTAACAGTAATAATGGTAAAAGAATATACAGAATATACAAAACAAGTGATGCACAATGTAATTGCTCACCACCCACTGACCGGTGCTCAGCCCGTCCCAAGCTGCAATCACTCTCCTGTGGCTAACTGCCCCCAAACATGACATCCTATGGTCTGGAATAGCCCTTTGGCCAGCTGGGGTCAGCTGT